TTGAATCGCTCAAAACTGCATAAAACCCCAGGGTTCAGGTTCTATCATGGTTGGGCAACCTACTGTGGGTGGACGAAATCCTGCACCACTTTGAAACCATAGCAAACCATTGTTTGTTTGCATTTACAGGGCAAGCATTACCCCAGAGTTTTTTTGGATGGTGCAGGATTTCGTCCATCCGCAGTAGGCAACCTAAAATTAAACAAGGAGGAGACCCCAGTGCCTCGTGCCGATGACACAGCTCTTGGTCAACCCTCTTGCCCTGACCGCGTCGCGTTGCAACCACTCGTCACCACCCAAGGGTCCTTTGGCCGTTTGACGGACGTCGTAAAAACTAAGGGATGCGCAACTACCAACCACACAGGGTGTCCTGCCATGTGAATCTCTATATATATATATATATGGATATACATACATAATGAAAAATATATACTAGGTCGTCCAGTAGAGAGGTTAGAATAAGGGTACCCTTTTTCTGTAGCCTATTTTAGTAGGGAATAAAAGGGCACTACTGGGGGACCTAGTACATATATATATATATATATATATGTGTGTGTGTGTGTGTTGCTTCATGACAATCCCATCACTGGAGAATGCCATGGCGGCCGCCCAAAGCTGCTTGAGGACTGGCGCCCTTCACTTCCCTTTCCCAAAGCTCCAACAAAAACTCAGGAACCAGACGAACAAAGTCACCCTTGTGGTAGATTTTGAAGGGAGAAACCCCCCCAGTCCCCAGTTGATGGCTTTCATCCACCAGAAATCGTCAACTAGGTCCTCCATTATAGAGGTCAGAATAAGGGTACCCACTTTTTTTTCTTCTGTAGTCTATTTTAGTAGGGGGGTAAAAGGACCTGGTTAACCTAAAAAGCTAAGGAACCGGATGGCTGGTTGACCCAACACATCCATTTGCTTTTTGGTTCAGGGGTAGTTTCCCATTTACCCGCTACAAGAACCAGGAAATGGTTCAAATCCCCAGTTCCCACCAATCCAAACCACCAATTGGAGGTATCCTAATCATCCATTGGCGTCTTCGTCCACTGGACAAAATGAGAGAATGTGCCCAATAGTGATAGATTCCCTTAAACCAAACAGGAAAAATGAAAAACACTCATTCTTAAGAATATGGACGTTGAACAAAGGTCCAGCAAAAACTGGAAACTGATCTCCCTTTCTGGTCGTCGTGCATTGCATTTGTACAAGTGGGCACCACTCACTCTTCGGGGGGAAAGGGGTTTCCCTGCTTCAAAACCTGGTGTTCAAGTGGGACTCCAAAAAACTTGCGCCCCGTAATTCTGGTTGAGACCTGGCCCCAACGTTCCTTAGTCACCTTTTGGGACCACCGGCCCCCCATGTTCCTGCACCGAGCGGCTTCACATCTTTCACGTCTTGCTTGAGCTCATCTGCCATGCTGTCGAGCTTGCTCATGAAGCCTCCCCACCCCCCGGTGCTCGGGTCCGAATGCCGCTCAAGGCAACGTGCACCTATCCAATCGTCCCCCCACTCAACCCCTGGGGCCCCTCCCAAGCTTTCCGATCATTGACAGCACCTCTCAAACCATCTCAAACCTGCCCCCTGCGCAGCCAACCGGCCGGGAAAGTAGCCGGCATCTTTGTTGGCTTTTCTCTTTTTCGTACCCAGGAAATCGTGCCACCAACCCTAACACAAAATGCGAAATGAGATCATCCCTGCTGTAGTCGCTTCCATTTGCTTGAGGGGAAACTAAAACATATTCACTCCAGCAAATGGAAGAGAACGTGGACTCATGGCACCAAGATGTGTTTTCCCAAATCAATCGCCTTTCTTGCAAAGGTCCAGCAGCTCGTGCCAGGCGCTGTTCTGTACACCTCGCTTGTCTTCCTGTCTTCCTGAGCGGATCGGTCGCAAAAGTACGGACATGCTGCTTACGAAAATGACCCACACGAAAGCGTTCAGTCCGGCAATCGGGACTGTGAGCGTTCTAACAGCAGCGAACAAGTGAAGAATCTTAGAACGATTTGGATGTGGCTGAAAAGTTTTCCCTCCGAGATCACAGAACAACAATTCAAGCCCCAAAAGCAACTCCTTGCGCAGTTGCTTGCTCACGCAAAGAACTATACCTGGATCTTCCTAAGTTTATTTCTTTCTGCCTTTCCGTGGACAACTGCTTTTTGAGGCAAGGTTGTCATACATCTTGTCAGCTTGGTTGTCCAACAAACTGGCGGAGGTGTTTCCGCGATACAGAGGCGTCTTTCCTCGATACAAGGGCGTGTCTTGCCGAACCCTGCTCTGGCACATGTATTTTTGAAGGGAAAGGCAATGTTTGATGGAAACGGCTGAAATTTCTGCAGTTTTGGCAAAGAGCGGAAATTCTCTATTCCTGGACCTTGTAGGTATGTGTGGCTTTTTGACTATGCTAAGCATGCCCGCCTGCACGCATCCGGCCATCAAGACAAGGCCTACCAAGACGGAGCTGCCAAGCAGAGCCCACTCCATTTGGGGGGTCTTTGGGTCGCAACAGCTCCAAACGCCTGCCGCCTTTTCTCCACACGTGCCGCGACAGCACCTTGTCCGGATTCGAGGTGCCATTCCAACGGTCTGTCAGGGGATAAGCTCAGAAATCAGCGCAAATGTTTGCAATCGTCGGGGCACTATCGAGTACTATCATCCAGACATGTGTATTGGCATGTGTTGGAGTGTGTGTGTGTGTGCGTGGGTCTGTTGGAACGTATGTGTGTGCGCGTGCGTGCGTGCGTGCGTGCGTGGGTGGGTAGGTGGGTGGGTGGGTGCGTGCGTGCGTGCGTGGGTGGGTGGGTGCGTGCGTGCGTGCGTGGGTGAATGTGTGTGTGTGTGGCGTTCATGCATGCCTTCGTGCGTGCGGGTGTGTGTGCATGCGTGGGTGAATGTGTGTGTGTGTGGCTGTGTCTGGTGTGCCTGCGCTAGCGCGTGCGCGTGTCCGTGTGCGAGCGTGCGTGCGTGCATGCAGGCCGTGCATGCGCGCATGCGTGCAACGTGCGTGCGTGCGTGGGTAGAAGGTGTGTTTGTGTTTGTGTGCGTGTGTGCTTGCGTGCTTGCGTGGGTAGGTATGTGTGTGTGTGTAGGTGTGCTTGTGCTTGTGTTTTTGTGTTTGTCCGTGCGTTTGTGTTTGCATTTGTCCTTGTGATTGTCCTTGTGATTGTCCTTGCGTGCGTGCGTGCGTGCGTGCGTGTGTGAGTGAGTGAGTGAGTGAGTGAGTGAGTCAGTGAATGAGTGAGTGAGTGAGTGAGTGAGGGAGCGAGCGTGGGTGTGTGTGTGTGTGTGCATGTACGTGCCTTTGCGCGCGTGCGTGCGTGCGTGCGTGCGTGCGCGCGGGTGCGCGCAATCGGGTGCGCGCAATCGGGTGCGCGCGCGCGGGTGCGTGCCTGCGGTGCGTGTGGGTGCGTGCGTGTGGCTGCGTGCATGTGTGGGTGCAAGGGTGCGTGTGTGGGTGCGTGCGCGCGCGAGCGTGCGCGTGCGCGTGCGCGTGCGTGTGCGTGTGCGTGTGCGTGTGCGTGTGCGTGCGAGTGCGAGTGCCAGGCGAGTGCGTGTGCGTGTGCCTGTGCGTGTGCGCGTGTGTGTGTGTGTGTGCGCACGTGTGCGCACGTGCGCGTGCATGTCAGCGTGCAAGTGCACGTGCGCGTGTGCGTGCGCGTGTGCGTGTGGTGTGGGTGTGAGTGCGGGTGTGGGTGTGGATGTGTGTGTGTGTGTGTCTCTTTCTGCGCACGTGCGTGTCCTGAGCGCACACTTTTACATACCACTTCAAAACTCATGCTCGATCTTCCCAAAAAGCTACACTTAAGCTTCATATAAAAGTGTATTGGCGGCGAGGAAGCCAAGGAACCACTATGAGCAAGGGGTGCCCTCTTCAACTCTTACCTTTCCCCTAGGACACCACAACCAGCGGCTGAAGATATCCCCTGCGATCCGGCGCTTGCGCTCGCTGCTCCTGGGAGGTCTGCAGGGCTCGCTGAAGAAATACCAAATACCATCGCACATGACGGAGACAAGACTTCCCTGACAGGCTCAAGGTTTTGACATCCAGGAGAGGAAAAAGAAACTCTCCCAGACCGGGGACGCCCCTTGGTGTCACAGCTGGCCCCAAAACCAAGTTTCCCGCAACCATGCATGCTAAAGGAAGGACATGAGTGGGCGTTTGTCACAGCATGCAAACCAAAATGGCATCGCGCCCTTGTGAAAATGCACCTAGCCTTCTCACCTCCCGCCACTTTCGCCTAAAAGGGATTAGAAACAAGCGGCATGAGCTTTGAATCATCTCTTTGATTCTGGTCCATGCTCCGTCTTGTTTGCCAGGGCATCTCCTGGCTCGACCCTGCTCTGTCCTTGAAGCCAACACGTGTTCAAATGGCTATGGGTCAAACCCCCGTACCCCCAGTGAACATCTCAATCCCAACTAAAATCCCGACTAACATGGCCGGGTGGTGCACCTACCAACCAAAATGGGATCCCATTGGTGTTGACCCACGGCCAAATCTTAGATCCCAGAAACCGCCCTTTGCGAAAGCCTCCTGCGGGAGCAGCGCAGCCCTGCAAGAGGGCCGCAAGCGCCTTCAAGCGCGCGCATCAAGCGGCGGCGCGGCCCATGCTGGGCCACGGGCTGCATTGCATCTACCCCGTGCCCCAGCACAGGACGCGCGAGAATTAGCTAGTCAAACTAAAGCCGACACTTTGGGCTGACTGCATCCAAGTGGGGTATGAATTGTAACGGGACTCTTTGCTGAAAATCGCTCACAGCCCACCCGCTTAGAGACGGTTCCCCGTTTCCGAATCCATGGTTTGCCGCAGGTGGCAAAGTTGTTGCCGGTGTCTGTCTTTGCCTTTCATAGAGACCAAGTTGCACCCTCACCGGATGATGGCCAGCCTCTGGCAATTTCCAGTGCACCCTATTGGGCACCTCTTTAGAAACTGGTGACACAAGGAGCCCAGGAGCCTGCGGCGCAACTCGAAACACCAAACCGGGGATCAAATAACTCAAAGGACTTTTGCGAGAGCACCAAGCCTCTCCGCGGGCGAATTCGGCAAGCCATCACAGCAAGAGTGGAGGCAGGGAGCGCGACTGCCGAAGCAGTAAGACTTTCCGATTCTTGCTCTCTAGGGACAGGCAGCTAGAGGCCATGCTGACGTGCAAGCCGTGACAGCTTGCATCTCCTACTCTGGCATCTTGGACGCCAGAAGTTCAAGGCATTGACCTTGGCCAAACCTCACTGCGCGGCGACCACGTCCTTAGGGCCGCGGAGAACTGCGGGAGACAAGGTGCTGAACAGTCCTGAAACGGTAGGCCCTTAGTTGAAGGGAGGCAAAAAGAAACAACTATTTTAGGGCCCTACTTCAACGGTTGCATCTGAAGGAAGATCAAACAGAAAAAAGGAGTGCCCCCTCTTTTGAGCGGCACCACTCAGCAAAACTATCTTTGCAGAAAGGGGGCGGACAGCTTCTCCGGCGCGCCCTGCGTACTTCCCCGTGCCTCCTGCCTCGGAAAGATCCGAACGCCACAACCTCCGACGACCTCCGACTGGAGTTGAGCAAACTCATCCACTGAACGTGGTTTTAGGTTTTAGGCGTTCAGCTGGAATTGGCACCTCCCAGAACGTCGTAATTCAGACTGCACTGAGCGTTAGACAGGTTCTTCCCAATTAAATTCAGCAACAGGCTGGATAGATGGATTCTTAGATAGGCCAGATAAACTAGATAGATAGATAGATCGATAGATAGATAGATAAATCGATATATATATATATAGAGAGAGATAGAAAGGATAGGATAGGATAGGATAGGATAGGATAGGATAGGATGGGATGGGATGGGGTAGGATAGGATAGGACAGCATAGGATAGGATAGGATAGGATGGATAGATTAGATTAGATAGATTAGATAGATGGGTGGATAGGTTTCATAGAAAGATAGGTTCGAGAGACTTGATAGATACATAGACAGACAGACAGACAGACAGACAGACAGACAGACAGACACACAGACAGGCAGGCAGGCAGGCAGGCAGGCAGGCAGGCAGGCAGGCAGGCAGGCAGGCAGGCAGGCAGGCAGGCAGGCAGGCAGGCAGGCAGGCAGGCAGGCAGCAGGCAGGCAGGCAGGCAGGCAGGCAGGCAGGCAGGCAGGCAGGCAGGCAGGCAGGCAGGCAGGCAGGCAGGCAGGCAGGCAGGCAGGCAGGCAGGCAGGACAGACAAACAGATAGATAGATAGATAGACAAACAAACAGATAGATTAACAGATTAAATAAGCAGTTAGATAGATCGATAGATAGACTAGATTAGAGCCGATTGGATTTAGATTAAATTAATGGATATAATGGATAGATCGATGGATGGATAGATAGATAGATTAATCAGATTAGGTAGTTACTTAGTTAGTTAGTTAGTTAGTTAGTTAGATGCACAGATAGAAGATAAATAGATAGATCTCTGAGATAGACTAGATGAACACATAGATTGACAGATAGATGATAGATATATATGTATAAATGAAAAGAGTAATTAGATTCGATTGATCGACTAGGTAGATACATAGATTGACAGATAAATAGATAGATAGATGGATAGATGGATAGATGGATAGATAGTAGATAGTAGATAGATAAATAGATAGATTAGATTAGATTAGATTAGATTCGATTAGATTATATTAGATTAGAGATAGATAGATAGATTAGATAGATAGATAGATAGATAGATAGATAGATAGATAGATAGATAGATAGATAGATAGATAGATAGATAGATAGATAGATAGATAGATAGATAGATAGATAGATAGATAGATAGATAGATAGATAGATAGATAGATAGATAGATAGATAGATAGATAGATAGATAGATAGATAGATAGATAGATAGATATAGATATAGATATAGATATATGAGATATAGATATGAGATATAGATATAGATATAGATATAGATGCATGGATGCACAGGTAGATCGATAGATAAATAAATCGATGGATAGATAGATAGATGGATGGGTGGACATGAAAAGATAGATAGATAGATAGATAGATAGATAGATAGATAGATAGATAGATAGATAGATAGATAGATTGGATAGATAGGTGTCAATAGATATAAGCTAGATAGATAGAGATCAGGTCACATTCGGTTTGATTAGCTAGATAGCTAAATACATAGATAGAAGAAAAGAAAGCGAAAGAGAAAGAAAGGGTACATACGATCTTTGCGAAGCATTTTCCCGACAGACAGGCATTCAAGCACAAGAGGATAAAAACCAAGAGACAGAGACAGGCAAAGAAAGAGAGAGAGAGAGAGAGATAGAGAAAAAAAAAGGAGAAAAAAAAGAGAAAGGGACAAATGCCTATCATATAGTCTTGTTTTCTAATTGCTCAGAAACTTCCGACAACCGATTTTCCCGGCTCTACTGGTATAATGAGGGTGTCTGCATAAAATGTGCAACCACCCCGAAGGCCAAAGAAAGGACCCTAGGAGGGGATCCTGCTACAGTTGTTCGACCCCCCAACTTGTTTTGCCTCTGAATGCCAAAAGACCATCCCAGACACAATCTTACAAGATTCATAGTTGCATGTTGCACCTTTCACAGAAAAAAAAGCTGGGCTGAGCTCCAGATGAGCGAAAACAGCTGGGCTGAGCTGGAGGTCGAATCACATGTTTTGGGCTTGGGGTTGGTTCTCTTTCCTTGTCTCCGATCAAACAAATTTCCATCCAGCTTGCGGCATCCAAGGAAAACTTTCGGTTTTTGGCGTCGTTCCTTTACAACCCGTGGGGCTGGGCTTGCAAAAAGCCGAGGGTTTCTTGCAGCCCACCGGAACATGACGCTTTGGGGACCTGAAAGGCTATGTTCCTACAACCCAAATTGTGTCCTGGAATCATTTGCCAACAGCAGTGAAGCTACACACCCTCCCACCAATTAACATGGAACCTGACAGGGGGTCTCTAACAGGAAATGGTCTTCCAACACCCCCCCCACGTTCCATGTTAATAGGTGGGAGGGTAACCTCTTTTGCCCCCCGGTAGTTCCGCGATCCAAAACTCCGAGTCGCAAGAGGTCAAGGACCACATCCGCAATGCTTTTCTTCGGCTCCTGTCGGATTCGCTCGCGAATCCGAAGTCCGCTCTAACAAATCGCTCGACATTCCCCCAGAGACGACATGGATGTCTATGGCTCCCTGAGTACCCTCCCACCAGCTAACATGGAAGTGCACAGACCCCTGCTACTTTCCTCTCCAAGAGCCTTTTTGCACTTCCATGTTCGTTGGTGGGAGGGTAATCCGTTGACAGTTTGGTCTAACATCACTAAAACCTGGTTGCTTTCTGCTCCCTGCTAGAAGTTTGACTTTTAGTGGTTTAATGGAAAACCCGTTTGTTGGCAACAAGTTGAAGTCCTAACATCCAAGCAAATGCACCACAGAAAAGGTCCATGATCGCAACGGATAGGGCACCCTTTGGGGGCGTGCCTTCTCGGGCACGCAGGGGGTTATTCTCACTGGCCTTGGTTGGTTTTCATGGCCGCATTTCTGCGGGCGGGCGCTGGTTGCCTTAGGTCTCAAGTCATCCTGCCCTGAGAAATGCCGCAGAGTTTATCGCAAGAAACAACCAACAACATGAGATCTAATAAGTACCACCCATTCCCTCTGGCAGAGAAAGGGGACCATAGCAAAGGACCTTCATCGGTGAAAACGCTCAACTGATCCCCGAACCGGTTTGCCCGTGAACTCTTCCGGCGCACCCCATAAGTTCAGAATGAGGGGAAGATACACATAGCCACTTGCCCAGTTAGTGTAGAGCCCAGGCGTGGATTCTCTACATGGTCCACAGTACCAACATGGTGATCAAAGCGTATATCTTGACGTATATCGGTCTTAGTCCTTACTTGTATCCCTTACTTGTATCCTACGGAAGCCAGGTGGGAACGCCTAGTAAAGTTGCCATATCACCTTTTCAATTGCTACTGGCTTCGTCAATCTTTGAGGGGGCTATTTTAACGGGATTTGTTGGAGGATCAACAGGAAGGGACTGGGACCGCTGTCGCACACCTAGGTTTCAACTCACTGCCCACCTCTCGGAAATTGAGAAAAACAAACATCAAGTGTAAACCTCGGAGCGCGCGAAGGCTAGTCTTTCTCTTGTGTGCCGAGTATGCGACAGAAAAACATCTTCCGCGCGATAGATCATCCTGGGACTTGTGGCGAGCTCTGACAAACAGCAAATCGCTGTTGGGAAAGACACAGAGCCTCAAGACCCCGTGCCCAAAATTAAAGACACCATGGAATTGGTGTATAAAGAACACATCCTACCTCCCTGTGTGCATGCCAGCAGACAGAACAGACAGCAAAAACAAGAAACATGGGGAGGGGGGCGAAACATCCCCTACAGGACGTCCTTGTTCTTTCTGGGTCACACGCGCCAGTTGGTGATTTGGTTTCGTGGCTTGGATGCTAGGGAACCCCCATTTGGCTTCAAAAGTGGGAATTTGAAATCCCCAGACCACCAATCCTAACCACCAAGTAAGGGGTGCCTGATTCTATGAAACCCCTAAAGAAGAAAAACTTTCTCAGCTTGACCTGGGTTTTGGGTGCTCAGATGCATGGCGCCTCCTTGTTGGCCTTGTTCTTCCACTTCCTCAAGACCAGGCGGGTGTTCCCAGCCAGCTCATCCTGAGCAAAATGATCGAATTGGGACATGTGCCAAAAAAAAGAGCCCAAAATAGCCCCCTCTAATCAGCTTCCCTCTGATTCGTGGGTTGGATTGGTGGTTCGGAGGTTTGGGGGTGGTTTCCCCCATTCATCCTCTGGGGCTGAAACCCCCAAACCAAAGCGAAAACAAGCAAACAAACACATGGGCGTTCTTGAAATGAAATGGGGGCCCGAAACAAAATGGTTGGTTTTTGGTTGGTTTCCATTCGAACCAGCCAAAAGAGAGTTCTCCTACTGAGAAACCCCAAATAATCATGAGCATTGGAAGATTGGTCTCTTGTCGGTTTCCTTGTGGCGCCCGTTTGGTTTCGGCTTCCCCTCAAACGCAAGAACGAGAAAGACCAGCCTGGACAAAAGCACGTATGCTGGCCCCCGGTCGTTGTACTTGGTAAGTGGTTAGTAAGCCTGGTTATAATCCACAATTGGGGATAAGTCTCCGATCAGTGGGCTACCTCACCAGGCTTACGATCACCACTTACCCGACGTGCCGAATCGATTGCCCCTGAAAGTAAGGAACCTCCGGAGCACAATGCCAATCAAAGGTTTCCTTTTAAAGTGAGGAAATGGTCGACTTGTGTGGTTTCTGGCTTAATCCGAAGTTATATTTCTTTGCAGGCCTAAGAACCAAGCCAACTCAGCTGTTCAAAGTTGCACAGAAGAGGCAAATGAAGCAATGCTGACATCTGCTGAAAAGCCGCCCTGATACTTCGGTATGTCTAAGAAGGTCTGGTTTCCTTTTGGCTTCCTTATGGAAACGACCAAAAGAGGGTCCCACAAAAAACACACAGCAACCACCAAGACACACCCACTCGTAGTGTCTGGGGGGGGTCCCTCCAAACCCAACAAAAAAGCACCCACATTTTGCCTGCAGGAGGGTGGTTCCCCCCCAAAAAACACACACACCACACCCACTTCTTGCCTGGGGGGAGGGGTGGTTCGGGTTCCCCCCCAAAAAAAAAAAAAAAACACGCCGGACCCACGTTTTATGCCGGGGGGGGGGGGGGGGACCGGCCGCGACCGGTCGCCCACGCTTCGGTTCCCCGGGGCCTCGCCGGGCCGGAACCTGCACTGCTCCAGGTGCCGCTTCCGGTCCTTCACGCAGACTTGCGCCCGGCAGCCCCGGTTCTGATACCGGCAGGGCGCCTCAGGGAAAAACGGGTCGCCCGAACGCTGGCCAGAAACCCCCCGGCGAAAAGTGGTATCTTTTTTCCCGAAAGCATGGCGAAGGGTTCTTCCGCTGGGTTCACTTGAGTTGTTCTCACGAGAGTCATTACAAGGTGTCATTGCAAGGAATCATCATCATGAAAGTCATTGCAAGGAGTCATTGCAAGGAGTCATTGCAAGGAGTCATTGCAAGGAGTCATTGCAAGGAGTCATTGCAAGGAGTCATTGCAAGGAGTCATTGCAAGGAGTCATTGCAAGGAGTCATTGCAAGGAGTCATTGCAAGGAGTCATTGCAAGGAGTCATTGCAAGGAGTCATTGCAAGGAGTCATTGCAAGGAGTCATTGCAAGGAGTCAAGGAGTCATTGCAAGGAGTCATTGCAAGGAGTCATTGCAAGGAGTCATTGCAAGGAGTCATTGCAAGGAGTCATTGCAAGGAGTCATTGCAAGGAGTCATGGCAAGGATTGCAACTTGCACTTGACTCCTTGCACTTGCAACTTGCACTTGACTCCTTGCACTTGCAACTTGCACTTGACTCCATGCACTTGCAACTTGCACTTGACTCCATGCACTTGGCTCCTTGCACTTGGCTCCTTGCACTTGGCCCCTTGCACTTGCAACTTGCACTTAACTCCGTGCACTTGCGACTTGCACTTGACTCCATGCACTTGGCTCCTTGCAACTTGCAATGGCTCTCATGACTCCTTGCAATGACTCCTTGCAATGACTCCTTGCAATGACTCCTTGCAATGACTCCTTGCAATGACTCCTTGCAATGACTCCTTGCAATGACTCCTTGCCATGACTCCTTGCAATGACTCCTTGCAATGACTCCTTGCAATGACTCCTTGAAACAAGCAAGGAGTCAAGTGCAAGTTGCAAGTGCAAGGAGTCAAGTGCAATTGACTTGCGAGGAGTTAAAATCTCTTCTTAGGGCGGCGGGGTAGTGCCGACGACACTACACGAAAATCGACCCTCTGCGGGGATCGGCGTGGTCGAGGTGCAAAAACCGAGGTTTTTTGCGATGTTTAACCTGCTCGCGCGACCCTCTGCGGGGATCGGCGTGGTCGAGGTGCAAAAACCCATGGTTTTTTTTGCGATTTCTGCGGTGCTCGCGCAACCCTCTGCGGGGATCGGCGTGGTCGAGGTGCAAAAACTCGAGGTTTTTTGCGATTTCTAAAGTTCCCGCGCGACCCTCTGCGGGAATCGGCGTGGTCGAGGTGCAAAAACCCATGGTTTTTTGCGATGTTTAACCTGCTCGCGCGACCCTCTGCGGGAATCGGCGTGGTCGAGGTGCAAAAACCCATGGTTTTTTGCGATGTTTAACCTGCTCGCGCGACCCTCTGCGGGGATCGGCGTGGTCGAGGTGCAAAAACTCGAGGTTTTTTGCGATTTCTGCGGTGCTCGCGCAACCCTCTGCGGGGATCGGCGTGGTCGAGGTGCAAAAACTCGAGGTTTTTTGCGACTTTTGTTGTTCGAACTGGTCCTCGGGAGTTGTCTCGTGGTTCGCGCGCCTGCTCCCGGAACCGGCGGGTCGCGGGTTCGATTCCTCCCTGGTCCGCGGGCGGGCGTCGCAAGATGCAACTTGCATTTTAAAGCAACTTGCGCAGAGCAACTTGCGCAGAGCAAGTTGCACAGAGCAACTTGCGCAGACCAACTTGCACCGACCAGTTTGCGCAGAGCGCCTTGCCTAGAGCAACTTGCGCAGAGCAACTTACGCAGAGCAACTTGCACAGAGCAACTTGCACAGAGCAGCTTGCACAGAGCAACTTGCAGGGAGCGCAATTTGCACAGAGCAACTTGCAGGGAGCCACTTGCAGGGACCAACTTGCCGGAGCAACTTGCGCGGAGCAACTTGCGCAGAGCAACTTGCACAGTGCAACTTGCGTAGAGCAACTTGCGCAGACCAACTTGCACCGACCAGTTTGCGCAGAGCACCTTGCCTGGTGCTGTCTCGCGCTTGCTTCACAAATGCTTCGTGTAGGGAAAAAGAACGCATCCTGCAGCGTTGGGCCGACCTCGCTTGCGATGTTCTGCTTTCGGGCCAACCGTGGTCTAGTTGTTTTGTTTTGCCCCTTGTTGGGGTTTGATTTGAAATGGATTTCGTCCGTCCACAGTATATTCGTGGGGGCTGGGGGGAGGGAGAGGGGGCTATGAGGGGAGCCTCCCTCCCTATGGCTGTGTAGGTCCACAATGTTGACCCCAGATTCATCAACCCCGGTTTATGAGTTTGGGGGCCCCTCCAAGAGTGAGGAATCCCCACTAAGACCCCCCCGCCTCAAAATAAACTGGGATTTATTCATCCGGGGTCAACATTATGTGAACCCAATGAGAATGCATGTTCGACCCTTTGATGGCTGATTGCTCCATAATTAGAAGCCATTTCCAAATGAACCCCTGGTATGAAGCCCCAGTTTATGGGTTGGCGAACTGTTAGCCATGGCTTAGCCATGGGAAATCAGCCAAGGCTTTTCAAAGGGTCCCAAACAGACATGATGTACTTGCACTCGGCCGTTGACACAACCCCAGAGAAGTTGCTAAGAAAAAACACGCGTGCCACAATGGTCTTGCATGTCCTGCCAAAAAAGTTCAGGAACTCGGGGAGGAGACTCGTAGCCTGCAGGCTACACAATTCGGATGGAGTTGCTCTGAGAGTGTTTGTATTACACCCTGGGAACCTTGGGAAAAGACCCAGAATGGTTCAAAATAACACGGTTTTCTCCGGACATGTGCCTAAATGGGGTCAATACCCAGTGGGTGTATTCCCAGGGTGTAACCCCCCCAAAAAGAAAAAACAACTTAGAGGTGCGCGCACACGTACATACAAGACTAAGCTATTACCAGAGCAACGTGTTGGAACCCTCTTTCAGTCACAATCACGGCAGTGGCAGGGGAAGTCCCCAAGATCTTTAAAAAATGTTTGGAGCCTCAGAAGCCCAACTGCCATGGCACACTTTTTGGTTGGTTGGCTTTAAAGGAACATCCTACATGAAACAGGACTGGGCTGGTGTTTCCACCCCCCCAAAGGCAACTTGCCGTTGGCTCCGCGCTTTTCTGGGCGCGCCTCAGTTTCTCAACATAGTCCCAAATGGTGGGATCCATCCTTCCTCCTGTAAATAATTACACACTTCCCGAGTGGAGTGACCCAAAACACTCCAAGCTGTTTAATTATTTGCCACTTGAAAGTGTCTCCCCAAAAAGTGCCAAGTCCAGGAAGGTGGGAAGACGTTAACCAAAAGGACTCGAACATGGCTCCCACTTCGAGTGGCCCCCCAGCCCGCGCCGAGCCGACGCGCCGAGCTGCCACTCGATACGGGCAGTTCACCAAGTGATTCGAGAGCGCCTGCAGCGGCAGCTGTTCTAAGCCTCGGCGCGCGAGACGCGGCACGCGGGCGACTCTTTGGAGCTGACCACTCCTGTGATGCAACAAAAGGGGCTTCCCAAAGACCAACCTCCTGATGTTGAGGGGGGAAGTTCCCTTGTATCACAGAAGTGGGAAATAGCCCTCTGTTTTTAAGAGTGTCAAAACCCTCCAAGTAACATGGCAACTGACCAGGAATCGCTCCCCTCAAAAGGAAATTCATGTTCCAGGTACCTCCGCCATGTGAGTTGGAGCCGATGGTTGGAGGGTTGAAAGAAGAAGCGCACCTAGGTCCTCCAGTAACCCTCCCAAAAACAAAAGAATGTAAAAGGGCACTGGGGAACCTAGACACACAAAACACACATCTCGAGTGTTGCCCTGCTTTGAAGACACACCGTGGCCAGGTCAGTCACACACACACACACCCAGGGAAGGCATCCAAGGGGGGAAACGCGGAACTGCCAGGAAACAAAATCAAAATTAAGGGGGTTCCCTCCAAACATGGACTCCCCCCCACTCAAAAAAAAAGGTTGTTTCCTCCCATGACAGGTTTGTTGGGAATGGTTCTGGCTCTCTCGCTCTCTCTCTCTCTCTCTCTCTCTCTCGCTCGTGCGATCCCGCAGGTCCCAAAATAGGAGCATTATTGGCCCAAGAATCTCAAACAAAGTTAGCTCTCATTCACCAGCAACGTTGTCACTCTCACGGCCCACTCGTCACACATGGTAGACACTTCTGAAAAACAGGCATCCCAACAACAACCATGAAACAGCTAGAGGCCTGGGTCCAAGTTCGACGGTCGGCTTTCAGATTTTCAGATTCCCGATCGCCAGGAGGCAGCCGTGCTCCTTGTAGCGGCATAGGACCGGACGGAACTTGCATTCCATGGCGTGCTTCCGGCTCTCGGTCAACCTTCGGAGCTTTCCGCTGTTCCGCTCTCCGGCGGCGCGTGAAAAAGAAAAAACTGCTTTGCTTCTGGCGTTCGCTCTCCGGCTGCTCGTGAAAAAATATATAGGGGTTTTAAAACGCCAGGGGGGCTACATATGTGTTTTGAAAAGACAGGGGTTGGTACAACAAAGGATCCAGGGGGCTACATGTTCTTTGGGAAAACGTCGCGGAGACCAATTCCTGGGAAGCGGAAGTTTCGAAAATGGACCCGCCGGCGGACGTAACTAAGGGTTGCAGATCGGGTGCCGGACGGATTCTAAGTCCGCCTTCAAATCGGACAATACTTCTCCAAATGAACTCTACAAATTGGTCAGGCACTTTCGCGGCCCACTCTTTGAACTTGGTGTGTTGGAGCAGCAAGTGTCACAAACTTGAACACCGCTCCAAAAAGAGACATACGTTGCCAATCCACTCAGGAAGTGAGAATCCCCCTCTGGCTGAAGTTGGTGCATGAGACATCAATGTGAGGGACTATGATGCCAATCCTTTTGCTACCGTGGCTGTGGCCTTCAAATTTTGGTTTTAAGGAACACCACACCTCCATTCTAATGACTCGAACCCTTATCCCCACCCCCCCTAAGTGAGTCTCTGACATTGACAATGGTTTTCTTCGATGCGAAGGGGGGCGGGGGGCAAAAATCCACGCCAGGCAAATTGGATGTCCCCCAATTTCCGGTCACCCGCAAGCTGGGCTTTGATCTTGCCAAAACTCGGCTTGCCAAGGAGCTACTGGGATCAGTGGCTGACTTTGATACAATGGGGCCAGAGCTAGCGGTCATTGAAAACCAAAGGCGTTAGACTTTAGACCACCTTTGATAGTCCCACTTCTTCCTCTAAAAGCTGCCAAATCGGAAGATTTTGTTCTTGCAAGTTCAGAGTTTAGAGGGTTTGTTAAACATCGGTGGCCATGGGGAAAAAGGGCATGTTTTGTTGGTTGAGTTTACAGGGGAACCCGTACCCCCCCCAAAAAAAAAGAAAGGGCACCACTGGCAAACGTAGATCAAGTCCAAATGAGGACGCTCGGCTCACAGGCCGGGAACTTTCCAGCCAGGGCTCTAAAAAATCCCAGGAATCCTGGGTCTAAATCTCATCAACGGGATCCGTACTGTTGGGGAAGTGGGCGGGCCACCGTTCCCCCACCACAAAATCACCACAAAACCAGCGTAAACCACCACGAAACCAGCATAAGCCACTAGAAAACATTAGAAAACCACACCCCAAAGTCCTTTGGGCCTCCCTTTTTAACACCCCCACCACCTTTTCCGGGGGTCTGGTTTTTTAGCTTCCCGAGCCACGAAGGCTGCTCTTCGCAGCCCTGGCTGCGGTACGGGCAGCCCACCGGCCGCCACTTGCCTCGGCAAGTTTGGCGGATTCTTGCTACCTGACCCTCCCCTCCCCTACGACCCTCACTCCCCCCCGAAAAAACAGAAAGAACAAAACTTTAAAAACTGGGCTGCGCTTAGATCCCCCGCTAAAAGCGAACTGTTCGGGGGCTAAAAGAAAATCCCCACTAAACACTAAAAAGCTAAAAAGCTAAGGGCATGACTGGGAACCACCAAGAAACGAGGATCCTTGCATTATACACCTGAACATTGCCTTGTAAATTGTGGTTCCCGTTATTTTGGTGTTGAAAAAGCAGCATGTTTCAAATGTGCAAAATGGAGATCTTTTAAGGAGCCCTGCAATGGGTGCCATATTCTTGATGTTTTTGCCCTGCTGGCTTGGGGATTTTTTGTTTCCAGGTTCCTGGAAAGCAAGCAAGCCACCCCAAACCAGCCACTCCGAGCCCCCCATAAATCCACCAAAAATTCACCTTAAACCCACCCTTGACATACTCGAAGCCTACCCCAAAGCCACCCTACACACACACACACACTGCGCCCCGTAAATCCACCAAACACCAACCGCGCTAAACTAAAACACACACACCCTGAACCATCCTGAACTTGCCATAAGCCCACCCGAAACAACCTTTTCTAAACCACCCCAAACCCACCCTAGACATTCCCTAAACCAGCCTTAAACATACCCTACCCCCCCCCCCTTTTTCATGGATAGCCTTGTTTTTTTTTGCGGTGGCAAGCATGTGAAAGATCTCACATCCTAAGCGCCAAGCTCACCATACATGAGCAACCTAGGCCAGCAGCTCTGAAGCTCAGCATGGCCAACTAGGTCCTCCAGCGAGGTTAGACTAAGTTGGTACCCGATTCTCTCTTTTCTTTCTTCGCTTCTGTAGCTTATTTTAGTAGGGTTCGGAACCCTCCCAACCAAAAAAAGGGGTGAGAAATGGCACCTAGCTGGGGGGACCTAGCCAACACATCATGCCCACCTATGAGGCTCGAATTGAATCTTCACAGCTACCTTCGCCGCTGGTTCGCCGGAAGAGGCTTGCTTCCTTCTGTTCTATGGAAGCATCGAGGCGACTCGGCGGTTCCGGCCGAGTTGAGGCTTTTAGACTTGGAGCGCGAGAGATGTGCGACATACGGATGGAGAAGATCGATTTCGCCCCACTTTGAAGCTATGGGATTCCATTGTTGGTTGGCATTGAATTACAGCCAAATCATCATTCCAGGGTTTCTTGGGCGGTGCGAACGGATTTTGTCCACCCACGGTATCCCTTGCAGAACCTGGGTCCTCCATCCAGTAGAGAGGTTCGAATAAGGGTACCCTTTTCTTTCTGTAGTCTATTTTAGTAGGGGAACCCTCCCAACCAAAAATGGGTAAAAGGGCACTAGTGGGGGACCTAGAAACACTTCAACTCGCAAGGGATGAACGACTGGTGGCTCAGCGGGTCGGGAGCTGGCATCCAGCATTGTGCCTTGAGCCTTGAGCTACCAGCAGTCCTGGTTCGTGATATGGTAGATGAACAAAGGGCATGGACAGCCGGCTCAAGCCAACCTAGACCTAGAAGGAGCAACTCTGGTCGCCAAAGCAATGACTTTCTAAGGTCGGCTACATATGAAGAGAGCCAACCTACCTTTAACCTACCCTACACCTACCGTACCCTAGTCTAAACCTGCCCTGATCTGCCCTGAACCTGCCCTGAACCTGCCCTAACACCTACTCTAAACCCACCCTACCCTGAGCCTAAGCCACTTTCAACCTACCCGAAATAGACTGCGCCGAACTCCGGAGAGAAACGTCTACATTGCTAGTGGCAAGCTTAGCGCTTGTAAGGATGTGAGATCCCTCGTGCTTGCCACCGCAGGATGGGCTACCGGCTACCCATCCATTGATTTGCACTGGCACGCTTCCCTGGCCGCCTGCGCCAGTCGATGAGCTACATCCCTCCCAACCTAGTCATGCAAACGGATTTCCAGGGGCCATTCATGGCAACGAGCACCAATGGAAGACGAATGTTGGTGGCCATGTCACGTATGGCCAACTCTTTTGTGGGATACGGTCCTGGCCTTCCTTCATTAGAACCCTTATGATGCTCCAAAAAACCCTACAAAAGGGATGCAAAACCATCCTACTCACCCAAAGTAAATTGGTGTTTGACCACACGTGAGAGAGGGATCGCAGCCAAGTGAAGGCTAGTCGCACACCTCCACGTGCTCGAGCAAGTCCTTCTGGCAGCATTGCTCTGGGCAGCCGCGGTCCTGTCGCAGGAATTCCATCCCATGCGCACGCAGGGGGAGAGAGAGAGAGAGAGAGAGAGAGAGAGAGAGAGAGAGAGAGAGAGAGAGAGAGATATGGGTGTGGGTCAATTTTCTGGTGTGGAACGTTCCGCGGTGACGCGGACGTCTGGAACGAGTGAGTTACGCAAGGCTGGTTGTTCCGGACCTCTGGGAAGACATGTGTGGAGTCCTCAAGCACGCGTTCATTTAGTGTAAGATGGATAGATGGATGGATAGATGGATGGGTAGATGGACGGATGAAGCGACCAACGGCGCGCGGCCTTACGATACGGCACCTCCTTGAAGGCTTCTTGGGCGGCATGGCGGGCCGCGTAAGAAGCGCAGCCACTTACATGGGGGCATGTGTGTGTCTGTGCGCATGTGGACTTGGTGGCAAATTGCTCCGCTGCGTCTGGAACACGTCTGGAACGGGTCTGGAACGGGGTCTGGAACGGTTACGCGAGCGTTGCACTTGGCAATGCTAGCAAGCAGCATGTAAACATGGTCGTTTCAACAGTGTGACGACCGAGAGCGGTATCGAACCGTTACCGTAGAACAGATTGCGGCGGGGTTGACCCTTAACATAACAGGCCGTTCCAAAAACACATCTGTCAACAGGACCGCTGCCCAATTCCATCCAAGTGCCAATGAATACAAGCCACGCAGCCCTAACCACCAAAGCTCGACAAGCAAAACCCATCGTTAGCACCTCAGGCTTCTCTCGAACACTAGCTTTAACGCGTAGTATTTGGCAAAACAAGGGGGGAGTCAATAACCTACCAAATCACCTGACCGTCTGAATCAATACTCTAAACTAGAGATAAAATGGAAACAAGGTCTGGAACGGAAGGTCTGGATCAAGTTTCTAGGCAAGGTCTGGAACGGAGGTCTGGAACGGAGGTCTGGATCGCATGTGGGTTCCGGACCCTGTGCCGGACCTTATACATTGACTCGCAGCCCTATATATATATATATATATGTAGATATACATATGTATACATATATATATATATAAGATTCATAATATGTATGTGTGTGTGCATTTATACGTGCATCTCCATGAACATCTACAAACCTATATGCATGGAGAGACGTGAGCAGTCAAAGCATCATGTGTACAAACCCACAAAGAGTTCAAGAAAAACTATCTGTGACTCCCGTGTTCAGGGGCTACATCTCTAGCAACAAGCTGTTGTTCCAATTTGCCACTAAAAGTAATTCAACCATCTTCAAAATGGACAAACATGGACTATTGAACACGGGCTCTGCTTTCACCATTCTCAAGCAACGGTACCCAACATGGCACCTAGACAAGTGGAAAGAAAGAAAGCCTGACATGCGCAACCCTAGCTCTTCTCACTTGCTGAGAGGATGGCCCAAAAAACAACAAAGTTCAAACTGTTCTATTACCACTAAGATGGTCTTCCCAAAAAGTTTAATTAATATTCATGAGCTCAGGAAGTAGGAACTTTCGGCCAAGACCACCAGTTGAAAGAAGCCCGTCTTGCGCCCGGGTCTCGAGTCACGAGTCACCAGCGCCCGTGCGAAAAACGCCTCGTGCACACAGGCCACCATGCGGAAGATGCAGCGGGCGGCATGCCGCACCTTGTCACGCGCGCTGGGCTCCTGGCTCCCCGGAAGGCGCCAAAGGATCGGCGAAGGTCGACCGCCGCTGCAGAAGTCTGATTGGAATCGTGAATCAACTTCCTTTGTGGGCTTCCCCTTAAAGCCAAGTGGTACCTTCAACAAGACACACCCCATATGGATTCTGTGGACCAAAACTTGGTTGGGAGTGGGAAAAAAGGGAGGGGGGGTGGATGGAGTGGTGGACGGGGCCACGAGGAAAGTCAATTCTGGGCAGTCAAGGGTGAAGGGTTTAGGGTTTAGGGTTTAGGGGGGGGGGGGGAAGAACTTGGTTGACGTTGGGTTTGGGGAGCAAAACTTCTCAAATTGTGGCAGTTAAGTGGATTTGGATTTCAACCACTAAGCCAGAATAAGACAAAAATGTAAAATGTTTCCCAACAACAACCATGGTAAGAGGATGACTAAACCAGAAAGTAAGGGGAATTGCGCCATTTAAGGGTACATCCAGCAAACAGCTGTGCAACAGCTGAAAGCCCCTACAGTAAATCGATTGGTATTTGTGTGATTTTTACCACCTCTCAGAACTGTATCAGGGACAATCTGAAAAGAAAGGAACGTATCTCGGTGGGGTGACTTGTTTGGCCATTTTTTTGTGAGGCTTCCATTTGGTTTCCCTTGGGTTCCATTCGGCTTGGCGCCGTGCTCGTGGTTTTGGAAAGTCGGTTTGGCCTGAGCAACTCTACTGGTACATGGACTCTTCAACACCTTGTCCCGACAAATGTCCACTGCAAACGTCTCAGTTAGTGTGCCCGTGAACCTGGCCTTTCTCTTGGTGAACGGCGTATTTATTTATTTTTTAAGAGCGCTGCGCTGTTGGGGCATCCCACTGTTTCTTGGCCAGCGCAATCGCCACAACGCTGACTTCACTGACGCCCATCTCCGATCGCGCGGGTTCGAGTTTCTGAGTCTGTTGGGGAGGGTGGTTGCGTTCACGATGGAAGTTTCGAACCGTGCGCAAACTACAGAGACTTCCGCTTGTGAGTTCTCCAGCAGTTGGTCCAATTGTGGTGTGGCTTACATTCGCCTAGCGCTCCTCACAATACGGGGACGAGGGCGGCTGATGCTGAGGGTGTGGGAGAAAGGCGCGGGACTAGTTGCACTTCTTGGGTTGCCCCTGCCCCACAGGTGAAGCGCGGCCGAGAGCAATAGGGTGTAGCCCCGAAACCTGCCACTTTTGATGGGAACACCGTAGACAGAAGTTGGCAAAGCTTGGGACCCTCCGGGCTTCATTTCATACTCTGATGCATGCTTGCAACATCCGGATCTCACACCTTCACCTGGCCTGCCAGACCATCCCGGAACCTTGAATAATACACCTCGCCTGAACCACACCGAAACCTCCGCAACCTTCCTTGAGCCTTACGCTTGCACCCTGAAGGATGGAAGGCTTGCATGCTCGTGCGAGACTGACTGGACGCGAGCATTACATGCGGGGGCGAGACCGAAGAAGACTTTCACGCCTCGCGGGCGAGACAAAACTACGTCCGCCGGCGAGCCGAAAATCACATGCGCTTGCAAGGCCGTGACCCCCGGAAACAGTCATAACCATGACCCCAGTCTTTCCGGGGCCTGTCTCTGTTGCATTCTGTTGCCCATGCATGCGGACTTCACCCGGATAAAGTCTCCAAGTCTCCTCCTGGCACCCGCGCTTGGCGTGGGGGCAGACCACCGGCCGAAAGCCGCAGCGATCCGCGTGTATCCTGGGCCATTTTCGGGCGAGACGGTTTACTTGGTATGCTGACCCCGGATTCATCACCCCCCAGTAGAGTTTTTGTTTTTTTTGTGGGTGTCCCTCAAAGTCAAAACGTGAAAACTCCAAAAGTCCCAAAAGCCCCAAAAGTCCAAAAAGTCTCAAAGGTCAGCAAGCCACACCCAAAAAACTCGAAACGTCTCAAAGTCAAAACGCCTCAAACCAGAGTTCTACTTTTTGACAACCCAAGTGTAGACTTATAAACCCAGGCGTGGCTCATTCCCCCAAAAGAACCCAAGCTTCCTCAGCTGCCCCGCCAGCTGCCGCTCAGGGCAGCCCCGAGAGGCGAACCGGCACTCGCTGGGCCGAAACTTGCAGTCCTGGCGGGCGAAGGGCCAGGGATGGTGGACGCCCGGGAAAAAAAAAGAAAAGCAAGTGCTCTCTCGTTTGCCATGGGTTGACATGGATTTGCCGTGGTTTTGTGGTTGAATATGATCGGTTCACTTTCAATATTTGGGGCATCCGCCATAGTGTCTTCCCTTTGGGGGGCAAATCAACCACTGGGTTTAAGTCTACATTGGGGGAGGGGAGCGGCCCATGGCCCGCGTGAGCTCGCCATAACATAGGCAAGTGCACGGACCAAGGCCCAAATCTTGCATAAAAGTAACATGCTTAGACTGGCCTCAGTATTTTACCATGGCTCAGTGGTGGGTTAAAGGGCACCACCCCATGTTCTGACTTTGAACACCCCCAGCCCATAGTCAACATGTCAGACTTCGCGAGAGCATTTTCCGACCGATCTGGTCGGAACACGCTCCGATGCCATGAGCCTACCTTGAAGGACTTGGTCGAGTCTGGGGCGATGGGCTTCCGCGCGCCTTCCCCAACCACTAGCCCCAGGAGAAAACGTGTTTCGCACCCTCGTGGCTATACAGTGGGTGTGTATCCCATTGAACGTGGGGGGGGGACGGCGGTAGTGGAAACTCGTCCCCTCTTGGACTTTTGAAACCGTGATTGAAACCATTGTTTGTTGGCATTTGCAAGGGGATCGAAACATGAACCAGAGTTAACGTGGGGTCAACATTACGCTTTTTGCAACCCCGCCGACTGATTATTCAGGGCGGCCCCTTTTCAGAAGGGAATCTATTCTTTCAAGGGTACCCCCCCCCTCAATAATAAAGTTAGGGGGGTATTACTCAGGCGTCAACAGTACTTTGTAGGCCATGGTTATACCTAACTTTACGTGTCCATCATACGAACACGCATCTGACACCCCTAAAACAGCACGTGATTCTTGACGCACAAGGCATGGCGGAGTTCCCTATACCCTCTTTGGCTTGCATGGCCTTGCCAAGTGAACAGCCACGGGATTAGAAAAATACGGGGCCAACCTTCCAACGGAAAAAAAAAAAGAAAAAAAAGGAAAAAAAAAAAAAAAAAAAACCGGCGTGGGCCGCCAGAGGGATTTCCAAGTCGCACCTCCAAGTGCTTCTCCAAGCCTTTGGCCGCCGGGCACTCCTCGAAGAGCGGCTTTTATCTAGGGGTTGATTCCTCTTCCATTCTTTTCAGCCATCGTTCTTTTCCAAAACCAGACATTTCCTCAGGGTTTTTGGTGGTTTTCTAGAAAGAAGGATCCCTGGAAAGAATGGGGAAGTTACCCCTAGATTTTTGCGGAAACGGCTTGGATGCGGCTTTTGTGGATCCACCCCTGGGATCCCTGCAAGGAACTCAGAAGGGATTGCTCAGCTCGCAGAGTTCCATGCGCGGAACTTGGGCTCTCGAGGAATAGGGAGCCCAAAATAACAAGAATGGCTGTTGAGCCTTAAAAAAGGCCTTATTGCGAGACCCAGTTGTTCAGTGACCCTGGAAAAAAAACGGGAACCCTTTTTGGGGAAGACCATTTTTCGTGGGGCAGCCATCCAAAAAAAAAAAAAGGAAAAAGGGATCCACTGAACAACTGAGGAGATGATGGAGCCCGGCTGGGCGCCGGGGGTGACCAACACAAGGGCAGGAACAAATTGCGCGAGGCGTCTTTTTTTCCGCGACCCACCAAACCACCCCCAATGCAAAGTGGGTAGCCTCTGTGTGTCGTATACGGGTTCAAACATATGTCATCGGTGACAAGTTGTAGAACCCCTATTAATAACAGATCGCACTTTTGGCAGGGTTCCAGAAAGGAGCCCTGGCAATCTGACATGTGCAAAGTGATCTCAGCCTGCAATGCTCCCCAAACCTCTTCAGCAGCCTACAGGGCTGAAGCATTCAACCCACATGGCCATGAAGGTCAAACGCGTTAATACTGTGGATGGACGAAATTCTGCACCACTTGCAAACCATGGCAACCCATTATTTGTTGGTATTTGCAGGGGAATCATCAATGCAGGGTTTTGTAGGTGGTGCAGGTGTTCGTCCATCTACAGTAGGGGAACCACCTCACAAGCGCTGGACATGAATTCCCGCCGGATTCTGCTGTCCACGGGTCCGGGACCCCAGGGCGCAAAAACGCTTCCGTCCCCCGAGTTTTGCCCTCCGGCAAAGTCAGTCATTCCAAAAGCTCAAGTCAAGGGCCTACACGGTGAGCTCGTCTAGGTCCTCCAGTAGAGAGGTTAGAATAAGGGTGCCAACTTTTTCTGTAGTCTATTTTAGTAGGGGAACCCTCCCAACCAAAAAAAGGGGTGAGCAAGGGGGCACCTAGCCGGGGGGGACCTAGTCGTTGTAAAAACCCCCCCGACATGAGCGCCATCAAAAACATCGGCACACGGACCCTCTCATTGCATCCCCCCAGCCTCGCAGCCGAAGCGGGCGTGGGGGCAGGCCAGCGGGCGACAGCCTTAACTCGGAGCCCGGTGCCACTGGGATGGACAACTTGCGGGGATGAAGCCATGGGATGGACAACGCGCCGACAGCTCGGGATTTTTTTTCCGAGTCCGGTTGTGGGGGATGAAGCCGTGGATTCGCTTAAAGGAAACCGGACTCCCTGATAAGAGCCAACAAGAAAAAGAGAACCGGTTTCGGCGTTTGGCGGAGACAAGCTGCTGATCTTGTTGGTTCTAAAGGAAATTTCCAGGGTCTCCGGAATGCACCAAAGGATCCTCCTCAAATAAAACCACAAGGGATGGTTCCCACATTCCCTGAGAAGAGGCTGTGCATTTTGAGGCATGTGGAGGTCGAAGGGTTGAAACAAATTCCCGCAGCGGCTGTCGCGCACGATGCGCGGGCCGCAACGTCATGCTCTTAGCGCCCGCCCACTCCGAAGGAAGTCTCTCTCTAGGTAGGGTACCTTTTTTTCCTTCTGTAGTCTATGTTAGTAGGGGAACCCTCCCCCACAAAAGGGTAAAAGGGCACTACTGGGGGACCTAGCTCTCTTCGCCGAGGACATCCTGCTTGTCACCGGGAGCACTTCTACCAGACGTTGCTCCACAGCTGTGAGTTCCAAGCAAACCCGGCCTTTCTATAGCCCCCTGTCCGCCCAAATCACTGAGTGGGGATTCCTGGAGGCGAACAACTTCCTGATCGACAGGGCGGTCCTCGAAATTTCCCTCGAGCCATGTCGGGTGTGGAATATCATGCCGCCAAACAATTGGGCCCCCTGCAAGAACCTTCTCACTTTTTGTTGGGGAGGGGTAATGAAGAAACACCAGAAGGGCGAAAGGATGTGTCTGAACATTTAAAAAGCATGCCATGTGTCTAGCAATGATGCTGAATCTGGAATGCTCTTCATCGAAGGTGGAGTTTGTTGGAGTGCCAGCACAAAACAACCCGTGTGACGCAGGATGTAAAGTACTCTGTATCACTGAAACGTGAGGCAACAAGTCAATTTTCCGCAACCACGGTCACGCCTTCTGTTTTCACCACACCCTGGAACGGAAGGCCTGACCATTAAACGTGGACCAGGCAACCCTGTAGTTAATAAAACTTGCCCGGGCTTGGTGATTGGTCCCATGGCTGCCAGTGGGCGAAGAGGGCACCCGGGCCCCCCCCAAAAAAAACAAAACCCTATCAGCCACTAGTTGCAGTAGCTAGCCCCCAATCCCCACGCGTGGAGAAATCCACCTAAACCTAGCGGCAGAGACCCAAGCGGGAATGATCGGGCTAGTGGAGTACACGCTGGGACTAAACCCTGGAAGCCACGGTCCAGGATTGAAACGGAAAAATGGAACCGCAACATGTCTGCAACTGTGTGTGTGTGTGTGCGTGCTTGTGTGTTTCTGTTCTTCCTGCGTCCTGTGTTTGTGTGTTTGCGTGCTTATGGTTTTGTGTGATTGTGTGATTTGTTTGTGTGTGTGTGTGTTCGGTGTGTTTGCGTGCTTGTGTGTGGAGTGTCGAGAGTTTCTTAGGGGGGTTGTTTTTCCCCTTCAGTAACCGATGTCCCTTAGGTCATCCGTGTAAAAACCAACCCCTGGTTTCATTATCAGTCCTTTGATTCCTTACTAAAGCCACACAGCTGACCAAGATTTAAGATCTTGCCAAACATTTGGGTCTGTGTCAAAAAGGGGCACCTCCAAAAAAAGTGTTGTTCCCTTTTGGTTCGCTTTGAAGCCGACCTGGAAGGGTACTCCAAAACGAAGAACTGCCATTTGCTTTTTCGCCCCCCCCCGGGAAAAATGAATATGTCCAGTAGTGATAGATCCCCTTTGAAACCAACAGGGGAAAATAGTAGTCATAGATCCCCTTTAAAACCAACAGGGGAAAATACAACATGTTCATTTCAGCAAATGGAAGAAAAGAAGACACAAACCCGGAAAAGGAAGACAATCTTGCCAAACATTGGGTGTGCAAAACACTGTGTTTCCTGTTTGGCTCTCTTTAAGAAACCTGAAAAGCTACTCAAAAACCCAAACAAACACAAAGCCGCTGTCCCGAAAGTCGCGGGTCAAGCAGCCGCATGCCTCTGCATGTGCCGCCGCATCTTGCGCGTTCGGCTGGTATGAGCAGCCCTTGTGCTTGCAGTCCACCGGGCGGAACTCGCAACCTGGCATCGATGGTTTTGGTCTTTGTTTTCTTCAAAATTGGTTTCTGCTTAACTTTTAGTGGTTTTATGCGGAAAACATCGGAAAACCCCATAGCTTCTAACATCCCTTGGCAAAATGCACCCATGCTGTGGGTGGTTGCGACATCCGCTTCTCGCACCACTGCGAAACCATGGGAAAAACATTGCTTGCTTTGGTATTTACAGGAGAAGCATCAGAAACCAGGGTGTTTTAGGTGGTGCAAGAAGTTCGTCCATTCACAGTACCAATAGCCCACATGGCTAAACTGAAAGGCCAGCCAAGTGGCTAAACAACTGTAAAAACCGATGCTTGGTCTCTGCACAAAGTCGTTCACTCTTTGTGGGTTTAGTACGGAAAACCGCTTGATTTCAGCCAAAAAGTTAAAGTCTAAAGATCCAATTCAATAGCAGCCAAGTCAAGGGCATTGGGCTGGTGGTTTTAAGCTCACCTCCGATCGAGTGGATGGCCCAAAAAAGGTCCGAACTTGTTCTTGACTGATATGGTCCAAACCCACAAAAAGCGACCAAAGTCTGAAACAGAACTCACAAACCAACCAACCAAACAAACACTTACCCCTTAAAACTCCAAGCCCTGGGGAAGTTAATCTTTTACAGACATATAGCCCATGTTACCCACAAAGTTGAGAAAAGTTGTGTTTTTAAGAGGTAAGAACAAAAGAAACAAACCCAACCAAGGAGCCCTACCCCTCCCCTGCATCCGGGATGCCTTGGCAGTGGCTCTCCAGGCCATCGGCCGTGGGCAGCTTCTGGCAGCCCCGGCCGGCGAAGTGGCCTAAGCCATCCGATCCGATCTCCCGGATCCGCGGGGTACCCAAAGAGGGGCGTAGGACGAACTGGAACCCCCCACTTTTTTTGGCTCCAGTTCGGAACCCTCCCCACCAACAAAAGGAACGGTGAGAGGTCGGGGGCACCAATCGCGGGGGAGACCTAGCTGCGAGCATTCAGCTTCCCAACTGGTGGTTTTGGTTCACATCCCCAAATCGATCCAAATCGACGAAGTGCATCTCTACTCTTGGTATGGGCTGGCAAAAAACTGGCTGTTTTTTGCAGACCCCCAATAAAAATGAACAGAACCAAAAAACTAAAAAACTTTTTTTTTAAAAAAAAAAAAAGGGAAAAAAAAAAAAAAAAAAAAAACATGCCAAGAACAGTGAAGAGTGCCAAGACAGGGTTACCCAAAACAAGGCAAACAACACATGCCCCCCCCCCTTTTTTGCCGGGATGCTTGGTTGCTGCAACGACCCCTCTGCAGAAAAAGTGTTGTTCACTTTTCGTGGGTTTCATTTGGAAAACCCAACTTGATTTCAACCAAAAAGTTAAAATCCAAAAATCCGTTACCCAATAGCAGTAGAGGGCGTAGCCCTAAGACGAAGACAAACCCAAAGCCCATAGAACCCACCCCCCAAACAAAAAGGACTCAAAACCCTTCGGCAGGGGTGAAATGAATCACATCCATTTCAGCACGTGGGAGGAGGAGCAACCAAAGAAAAACAACGACCGACCCATTTCGGGCGTACCCCTAAAATGAAGACAAGCTCAAATCCCCAGACCCCGCGAAATGTTCGGCGGTGGTCCCCTCCAAAAAAGTTGAGATGGGCTCGCAACCCACCGGGCATCTCCTTCTCTAAGAGTATTCAGCTTCCCTCCAATTGGTGGTTTGGATTGGTGGCTTGGTGCTTAATGCGAGGCATCCCATTTACCCTCTACAAGAACCAGGAGTTCACATCCCCAAACCGATCCAAATCATCGACTAAGGGTTAGCTGATCTACGCAAAAATCCGCGGGAACTGGCCTTTGCTCTTGGAAGTCTTTCATGTAGGCTCACGTACCAGCCACAACTCACCCCTCGCCATACCTCGCCCCCAAGCCACCGGCCAAAAACCCGACATTTGGAGCCGCTCCAGGCCCACAATATCCAACCCTTGCATTCCACCAAAGCAGCTCCCACGCGTCAAGAGCGAACGTTTTTTTCCCCAACTCAAGACAAATGGCTGTGGCTCAAAAAACTGGTACCAAAATGGAACCCTGGCAAGTGGAAACAGAGGCCAAAACCTGCGTAACCCCTCCTGCTTCATTTGAGCCACACCCAAATGCTTTGACGACTTCGTTCAAAGTGGACGGCAACCAGCACTATAGCTAGGTACCAACAGCCCACCACATGGGTTTCCCATGTTCAAAACTGCCAACCCAAAGCCAAACCCTGCACAGCGCACTGCTGGAACATCCTTTTGAGATTGGATTTGAGGGAGTTGAATTTCTAATTTACTTCCTATTACTGGATTTGAGTTTCCATGTGATTTAGTTGCGTTACTTTTCCCATAAAAAATAGTATTGCTGGATTTGACGTTCCATTTGATTTAGTACTGCTGCAGTTGAGTTTCCACTTTATTTCGTACCTCCTAATTGGATTTCAGTATTGCCTGATTGCACTCTCCATTTAAAATTTAACAACGTATTGACTGCATTCCCCATTTGAAATGTAGCACTGTGGGGTTGAACATGCTGATGTGTGGTGTTGTTTTGCTTTTTGGTTTCAGGGGGAGGGGGGAGGGGCTGCACCAAATCATTACCCCTCCCCCATAAACGATGGCGTTTCCCTCCTCGAGAAGTCTCCCCGTTGTAGGATTGCTTGGTTTTGAATGAAATTACGTAAAGAGATGTGAGTTTAGGAGTGTTGAATTTTCTTTAGACAAAAATGCAATGTAGTGTTGGAGAGCTTTGCTAGGGCTAGGAGCAGCTTCGGCCAGATTTGAGATTGGATTCAAACAGGTTTGTTTGAGCCTTTGGTTTTTCTCGTGGTTGAACATTTAATCTTTTCTTCTGTTGGGGGGGGCTGCGACAAATCATTATATTTCAGGGACCGAAATAATTTGGTTGGGCTTCTTTGAAGTGGAGTTTTTGTTGAGATTACCCCCCCCTTCCACGAACATGGCACCTACGGCTGGCGGGGTCCGGAAAGGCACCGGCGGGGTCCGGAGTGGGCGGCAGGGAATGCGTTGACAATTTATTGAAAGAACATTGGCCTGCCTCCTTGCTCTGGCGTCTCCCGGAGCCTCTTCCGAACAAAAACGCAGGGTCTGCTGGCCCAAAGGCTGGGCGACTTTGTGGCCCTTTGCTTACCCCTTGAAACTCCAAGCCCTGGGGAAGTTTTCATCTTTTACAGACATATAGCCCATGTTACCCAAAAAGTTGAGAATCGTTTTGTGTTTTTTAAGAGGTAAGTTTGTTACGGAGTCCCTGGCGATGGCTGGCCTCGCCTGGAGCCCGGGAGCTAACCCCCAGCCACAGCCACCCCACCCGCCAGACAGCCAGGCCAGGCCAAGGGGCAGGGCACCGGGCGAAACCCGCAGGCGCCAAAGTGCCGGAAGGAGTTGTAGAAGGTCAGCTGCTCCGGGCCTGAAATGGGGCAGGTCTCTTGTTTGAGGGGTTGGGGGGGAGGGGAGGGGGGGAGGGAGGGGGGGGGGATTCTAATTGCCATGTTGAAGCAAACCAGATGGGCATGTGAGTGATTGAGGCGTGCCCCAAGTTGAAAGAAGCGAAAACCGACCCAACTCAGTCACCCATGTTTGGCCATCCGACTTGGTTTCTGGCTCAAAGCTTGACTCGGATCCAATCTTTCCATGAAGAAATGCCTGCGGACCAAACTGTCTACCCTAAGCTTTCGAATGACTGTAGGAAGCGGGCCCGTTTCGTACGTGTATCAAAGTGGGTCATCAGCTGCCCCTAGTTTGGATTGGTGGTTTGGTGGTCACGGGGTGGTTTGCCCTACAAACACCAACTGTTCATTCCCCAAGCCCCCAATCCAAACAACCAACTAAAGGTTACCAGTTCATTCCCATCCTACTAGGGTCACTTAGTCACCCGAAAGGTTGGTGAAATTCGGCCACCACAAAGCCCCATGACGCCCTATAAAGAAAAGAAGGTGGAGTGCTTCGGCGAGCAGGTGAAAACAACAAGCATCCCCACCCCAGCTGGAAAAACGGGAGTTTCGGTTGCCCCTTACATTGACTAGGCCCTTTTCTCACCTGTTCCTCCACACATTACCTCTCAGTCGGAGAAGTAAAACAAGATCCTTTTTCAAAAGGAAAAACCAAGATGAAAATGACCATCTGGACAGTGCTTCCCTCGTTTCACCCTTGGTTTGGTGAGGATCCTGTACTTTTGCCGTCCACACTCTGCAGAACGAGCCGTTTCCAACCACTTCCAACCACTTCCAACCATCTCCAACAGGCCCGTGTTTTGCTTTCACCATGTTTACCCAACCGCCAACGGCAAGGCAAACCAACGGCAGCATGCGCCAGCCGAACCCACCGAGAATCTATCGGGGAAATCCCCTCGATCCGATCGCTTGGAGCCTCAAACGCACGGCCCCAACCCGAAAGTCGAACTCGCTCTCCGAAAATCCGATCTCTTTACCCACGCAAACGGCAAGGCATCCAACCAACGGCCTCAATTCGCGCACTCACGCCGAATCTACTGCATCTCATGACGGAAAAGGAAAACAAAAAGATCCGACCACTCGATCTTAGAGCGCACCCGCCCAATCCTCCGAAAATCCATGGGAAAAAAACTTGAGGAGCGGGTGAACGAAAGCTAGCAGTTGTTGCATGAGATGGGTCGGTGACAGAGTGGATTCATGGGTAGCTTGTGTACAACGAGAGGCCCGGCAATATTCGTAGGATGCGACACGCAAACGCACATGGTGGCGTGGCAAACCTTGAAAAATGAAAACAACGAGAGGCGTCAGAAGCTGTCTTAAAGCACCTCTGGGTTCTGCATGCTGCGTGTGCAAAGAATCTTGCGAGGTGGTTTACTGAGAAGACTGAGGTCTCAAATGAACAAGCTGAATCGGTGGAACATGTAAAAGTTCGTAGCACCAAGTCCAAAACGGGCAAACCGAGACTGCTGAACACTGAGCCACTGCCCGGGGGGGGGGATGGACCAGGGAGGAATCGAGCCTGAGACCCGGGGGGGGGGAGGGGGGGGGGGGGTCTAAATAATTGATGTTTTTCAATCTTTTCGGCTCAAATAATTGAAAAAATCAATCTTTCGGCATTTGAGCCCCTTACCTTGCTTACGCAAGGAGAAACTTCAGCTAGCTAAAGCTAGCTTTCGTGACATCGACGATCGACCGCTTCGACTAGCGCCAGCTCCGAGCGGCAGCCCCGGGCCCGGTGCTTGCAGAAGACCGGCCGGAACCTGCACTGCTCGCTGTGCGTCTTCAGCTCGCCGTGGCAGGGCTCCAGCTTGCAGCCTGCGCTGGAGAAGGGGCGAGGCGAAAAAAACGACCCCCGTTTTTATGTGAAGCCGTGGGGACAAATCCCCCCCCAAAAAAAGCCGTGGGGGAAAAAAGCCGTCGGGAAAACAGGCCGTGCTTTTTCAAAGGGCCTTCAAATGATCTCCATTAATTTATGAAGCCATGGAAAATGATTTATGCCCCGCAAAGGGCTGCAAGATGACCTCCATTTATGAGAAAGCGATATACCCCGAGCTTCTGGGTGAATTCACCCGTAGGTATGGCCCAAACGGTAGCTCCAAGAAATGATTTATACTCCGAGCTTTTTGGTGAATTCACCCATGAGTAATCGCTTAAATATGGGAAAATACCCAGTCCATGAGTCCAACATGGGCATGGCTTCCATGCGTTCCATGGAGGAGCCCGTTTGGCCCGCATCCCCCCGGTTTGCCCCCGTTTGATCCCGGCTGCCTAGTGCTTTGAACGGGCAGGGCACGGGCCGGAACTCGCAATGCTCCTGGTGCCCTTCCATGTCCTTCGCGTCGACCACTGCTTGACAGCCTTCTGCTGCAAAGGGGCCTCAGCCGCATCGCATGGGGGGGGGGTTGGAGATCAATATTTGGGAGTCCCAAGGTAGCCAAGTTGCGATCGCTCTTTTCAGTCACTGTTGCTGGTTTTTGAGGTAAAGTGCATGAACAAAAAAAAAGAAAAAGCAACCGGCGATCCAGGTCGTTGGAGATGTTTGCCCCCAACCCGACAGAAACGCACGCGTCGGCAGATTGGGGGCCACCCAAGCGCCAAATCCGAGCCCTCGGCTGAATGCCTTGCAGTTCCCACGCCAAAAGGCAAAGCCGAGGTGGTGAAACCGCGCCACTGGGAATGCAGAGGATGCGAAAAGCCAAAGCCAAAAAGCCAAGAAGCCACAAGCGAAAACCAAAAAAACAAAGAATTCAAAACAAAACTCCAAAAGAAAGGCTGTTGTTTTGAGGCTGCCTTTTGCGGCACCGTTTTTCCGTGAGGGTTCTCCATGTTTCTCCTAGTTGGGGACAAGCCCAAACGAATCATAATAATCAAATCCAGGAGTATACCTGGCCAGACTTAGGCCGGCAACCAGATATGTTTGCTGCTGGTTGAACGGGACAATGAAGGCACACTTGAATGAAAGATAAACCCTCTGCATGTCTCTGCTGAATCCATCTGTGCGGAAGTGGCCATCTCTGACTCCCATTCCTCTCTTCCAAGGCATTCTGGAGGAATGGCTCACTGTCTCTCTCTATCTCTCTCTCTATTTTTCTCCACATGGCGCGAGGGAATGAAGACTTGGGAAGAGAGGCAGCCATCTCTTCACCAACAATTGGCTGGCATGGCCTCGCCCCTTTCTTCCCCGCCCTACCGCTCATGTCCCTTCCAATCTCCGAGAAAAAGGCCGGCAAAAACGGACAAACCAGCAAACCGCCCTCCCTCCGGTGGGAAACAGGGAATGTCCGACAAAAAGTTATCCAACTAGTGGTTTCCTTTTTGGGGGGCCAAAGCCTGGCTTCATTCCATGCCTCGCACCAGCCAAGATTCTGGGTTTGGTCTTCAAACTACACCAAGCAAACCTACTCGACCTACATGACACTTTACCATGCCAGGGGGGGGGGTCCTTATTTGTTCACTAACAGGGATCCTTACATTATACACCTGAACATTGCCATGTAGATGGTGGTGTCCCTTGATTTTGGTGTTGAAAAAGCCACATGTTTCAAATGGTTGCAAAATGGAGATCTTTTAAGGACTGGAAAACGAACAAACTATTCTTAGGTAATTCGAAGCCAACAGTTTTAAGGAGCCCTGACTAACCTCACCCATTCTCCCGCTGTGGTTTTCACTCTGGGCATTTTTTTAATGGCGTCTGGGGCCCCCGGGCAGCTCAGAGGCCGGAACCCGCAGCTCAGGCCATGAGCCTCCCGCTCCTGCGCGGCACCCTTTGGTCCGGTTCACCCCCCCGTTTTTGGCCCACCCCAACTAGGCCCAAACCAGAAGAGGGGTTAGAATAAGTTGGTACCCGATTTTTTTTCTTCCTGTAGTCTACTTTAGTAGGGGAGTTTCCTCCCAACCAGCAAAGGGTGAGAAAGGCACCTAGCTGGGGGACCTAGAAAAGCAAATTGGATAGCCCCGGCTCCCTCCGTCCGGCTCCCTAACCAACAGCTAGATCCTTCAGATTTGAGAGGTTAGAATAGGGGTACCCGATTTTTTTCTGTAGTCTGTTTTAGTAGGGGAGTTTCCTCCCAACCAACAGAGGGTGAGAAAGGCACTACTGGGGGACCTAGCCAAAAGACCTGGATTCTTTGTTGCACCTCGCAGCCGCTGTCTTGCCCTCTTTAAGGGACCTGGAATAAAAAGGAGTAGTCCATGAGAAACCAAAAGATTCGCTTTGGGCAGGTGAGATGGGGGAGCCTGACATTTCCACCCATGATCTATAATCACCTCCAGCTATTTATCAGGTCTCTTTTTGTGGGGGATCCGTTCTTCCAGGATCCTTGATTCATCACTGGAGAGCTTCTTTTAACTCAGAGAGAAAGAGAGAGAGCGAGCTTTGTGGGCCATACATGCCTTTGTCTTTTTCAGGGTACCCCAAAACGGGCTCCCTTTGGTTTCCCTTTAAACCCAAAAAGAGAGTGCCATCCCAAACAAAAGACGCACCTGCCTGCATAGAAACCCTTCCATAAAATCGCCCCGTCTCGGAGCTCGCGGGATCCCGCCTCTAGAGACAGTAGCTCCAGGCAGCCCCGCTTCGCCTCAGAGTTTGGACGGGCCTCCGTCGATCCACGGATTTCTTCTTTGCGAAAAAGGTGCGAGAGAGATGCAGCCCTGAGAAATGGTTCATGGCCCCTCGAAACACTTGGTTGACGTTGAAAGGGGAGTAACAGTTTATATTTTAACAGTTAAGTGGTTGGAATCCTAAGTGGTTGGATTTCAACCACTAAACCACAATAAGATCAAAAGTGGCAAAAAATGTTTCCCAACAACAACCACAAAGAATTCTCCCAATCACAGAACACAACCCGTCCCAGGATGAACCCCTGGTGATCAACCACAACCATCCCACCTTCGGGGACCCAAGCCTTCGTGCGGGTTTCCTTCCCCTTCGTGCGGGCTTCACCCGGGTTTGCCACGGATTGGTGGCCAGCTGGCCCTTTCCGAACCCAGCGCGGCCTCGCGCAAAGGAAGACGAGCTGGTCCGTGGCGACGCGCGACGGGACATGCATGGGCAGAGATTTTCCGTTTCACCCGCCAGTTCCCGGCCCCGATTTAGAGAGATTTACTTACCCCCTTAAAACTCCAAGCCCTGGGGAAGTGAATCTTTTACAGACATATAGCCCATGTTACCAACAAGTTGAGAAGTTGTGCTTTTAAGAGGTAAGTTTAGAGAGAGAGAGAGTTAGGGAGGCCGAAAGAAGTTGCTGTCAACACCCTTGCCGCCAAAACATGTCTGGACCCACATGCAAGTTCTCAAAACGCGGGCGAAATCATGAAGCGGGGCTTCCAGAGTCCCAGTCGCGTGTGGGCAAAGTTGGGGCCGGAAGTCACAGCTTGCCGAGTGAGCCTTCTGCTGGCAGTAGGACGGCTGTTCAGCACACCTGAGCGCGATGGCTTCGGGGCTTCAGGGCTTCGGGGTCGGGCCGATTTCTGCAAAGCGCGCTTTGACGAAAGCTCACTTGAGGACCTGGAGATAACAAGTGCATCTTTTGAAACCATAACAAGGTCGAAACCAAAAGATTGAAGGCCGGCTTTGGGCAAGCAAGCAAGCAAGCAAAGCAAAGCAAGGCAAAGCAAGGCAAAGCAAGGCAAAGCAAGGCAAAGCAAGGCAAGCAAGCAAGGGAAAGCCAAAGCGATGCTTCACTTCACCTGCATTGGGACATCTCGTAGTGACAAGCTGTTTAAACCACTTTTGATGCGCTTTCTGTGGTTTCCCCATGTTGTTTGGCTAGTTGTTCCTCTTTTAATACTCTTTTGGTACTCTTTTACTATCCTACAACGGTGGATCCACAAAAACCGCATCCAAACCGTTTCCTTTATTGTTGGCTTCAATAGAACCCTCTCGGGCCATAGGAGACAACGTGATGGACATCATGGTTGCTTGCGCGCTCTCTCCAGCCTTGCCAAGGGTTTCCATCTTGTGGGTGCGTCTGTTTTTGAAGGAAACTTGTTTGGACAGCTTTAAAGGAAACCCAAAAAGGAAGCAACCCCATTTCAAAACTCACTGCTGAACCATGGGTGCGAAGCAGGGATTCTGGAAAAGTAAAAGCGAACATCGATCCCCTTTTGGCTCTATTTAAGGGAAATTACAAGTTAGGGGCTATTTAGCGCCCAGGTGCCATGGAGGTCAAACAACGGGTTATTTGGAAAAAGGTTCTGGAAGGAAACTACAAGCGGAATCCACGTGGCAGACGCGTCCAGATTTCAACGATTTGGGTGCGTTGTTTTTAAAGCAAGCATCAAACTTGGTGGCTTTCAAATGTGGTTTCCGCTTTAAAGCAACCCCAGAATTCAGGTAACCCTTAGTTGGTGGTTTGGATTGGCGAATTAAATTCGCATTTGAACCCCGGGTTCTTGTAGAGGGGAAATGGGCAACCCCTCCTTTGCCACCAAACCACCAAGTAGTGGAAAGCTGAGAAAAAAACTTACCACCAAACCACCAATTCGCTTATTTTTCATTTTATTTTTATCCCGGAAAAAAAAGGAAACAAAACGAGTACCCGCCAAAAGGCCACCCGACCCCTTTAGCACCCGAGGCGCCCGCGCTCTGCGAAGCGACAGGGCACAGGCCGGAAGGGGCAGACCTCTCCGTGGGCGACCCGTCGGTAGGCGCAGACCAACTCCTCGCAGCCCCGGGCTTCGTGAAGGCACGCCACTTGGCGGTACTGGCCTCGGCGAGGGAGAAAAAAACCCTTGGCTGTGGCTCAAGAAACCGGAATTCCCCAAATGGCTTGCCCTGGTAAGTGGAAAAATGGACCAAAACCTGTGTAACCCCTCCTGTTTAATTTTGAGCCACACCCACTTACGTGCTGCAACGACAACGATTCCTCTGCGAAAGAAAAAGAAGACAAAAAAAAACAAGAGACAAGTAGAAGCTGCTCTCACTTTTTGTGGGCTGAATGGGAAACCCCTTCCCAAAAAGTTAAAGCCGAAAGATCCGTTACCCAATGGCAATCCGGATTTATGGGGCGTCAAAAGCGCTTGGTTGCTGTGACGACCCATCTGGAAAAAGTGTTTCAATTGACGTGCCCAACGCAGAAAATCCGGCCTGCTTCAACCAAAAAGTTAAGGTCCGAAACCAACCGTAAAGGGGACCCTCAAAAAAAAAAAAAAACATGCACGCTGGAGCTTCCCTACTGCGCAATTCACACACGCTACCACCGTAGATGCTTCAGAAGTTAGCTATGTGGTTAGCAAGTCTCACTTCCCAAGTTGACTGGCCAAAAAAAGTTTGAACTTTTTGTTTACCACCAAAATGGTCTTCCCAAAAAGTATGAAGTCCATGAACTCAGGGAGTGAGCAAGCGGTTGCTGACCATGCTAACTTGTGAGACCATCCAAGTGGGCCCACCGCTGCAGTACGGGGGATGAAGTCTCGGCTGCCTCATTTAGTGACATAGTCCGTATCACCCGGAAGCAATCGGGTTTGTACCATGTCGCTTCCCCTTTAAAGCCACCGCCCAAACACCTTCTGAGTGGGTTGGCCAAAAAGAATCTGAACTTTGCATTTATCACTAAAACTCACTTCCTGAGCGGATGGCCCAACAACAAGTCCATGTTTTTTGCTTACCAGTAAACTGATCTTCCAAAAAGTAACCCAAGTCCGAGTTCCGGAACTCGTTTTAAGTGAGAAAATGGAGCCCTTCCAACCAGCATGAAGCCCTGCAACTCAGCAGTGCTCAACCTGCGACCTCGACCCCCCACTTCCCAGCGACGCCGCCAGGGATCCAAGTTGATTCAATCGTCATGTCGACCCGGGATGAATCAATACACCCGTCCCATTAGGCATGGTTGACGTTGGGTTTGGGGAGCAAAAAATTGAATTTTAGTAGTTAAAAATTGGATTTCCCACTAAACCACAATAAGCAAAAATGTAAAATGCTTCCCAACGACAACCATGTAAACCCGTCCCATTATTGGGGGGGTGTTCCAAAAGTAATGAATCCAACCACTAAAAGAAATTGGACACCCCCCGATCAAAATCAACCAGGGGTGTATTAATCCGGAATTGACAGTACCAGCGGTTGCCCAATTTTTGAAAAAAAATAACAATCGCTGCAAGGTCACCATTTTCGGAACGCCCTTGTCACACCGAAAAGAGGAATCCTGCATGTTGGAGAGGTCAGGATTCTTGTTGCGAACAGGTTGTCCAAACAGGGACAACCCGTGACATCCCTGGCTTAGGTAGGTGGGATTGTCTCAAAATGAGGCGGTCTCTGCATGTTGGGTTTTAATCTGGCTTCCCTTTACAGGGTCAACCGTAGGGCGTGCCAACAACAGAAGACGTTCCTTAAAGACTGCATCCAAAAACCACATTCTTTCCCAGGTGATCCTCCAATTCAGCTGGTAAATGCGATTTCTAGCTGGCCCCAATCTATCCCTCAAGGGACCCTGAAGAATCAAGAAACGAGCTGTCTCCAACATAGGGCACTTGGTTTCCTTTTGGTTTCCAGAAAGAAGCCAACCAAAAAGGGTACCAACTCCAAACAACAAAGACACATTTCACAGAGCCAACAAAAACACACACAAAAAAAGAGCACCTCTGATTCTCACTTGCCCAGTCCGCACCTGAAAATGAAAGGTGCCTTCTGGGACTACTAAACATGGGAACCCAAAAAGGGAAAACAAAAAAGCTCACTTCAGGTCGATTCGCTTTGAACCACGCGAGTGTTTTTGTTTGGGGGGGGGGGTGTTCCTGGCAACCAGTGGAGGGCTTCAGACTACTTTTGGTTTTGGAGCAGCCCCCCCTTCCCCTTAAACAAAAAACAAAAACACAAAAAAAAAGAAACCTATGCATTCTATCCCTGGACCTTCCACCCAAACCAAGAAACTTCGGACGCATCATGTCCCTTCACCCTCCACCCTTCCACCTTCGACCGCTTCCGCTTCCGCTTCCACCCTCCACGCGAATGCGTGAGCCGAAGGGACACTCCGCGGCGTGCTCCGCCACGGCGTTGGCGCAGGGCTGCACCGGGCACTGGTCGTGCTGGCAGGGCACCGGCCGAAAGTCGCAGGCCGCCGCGTGCTGCTGGGCCTCCTGGGGCCCATTTTTCTTCAGGCGGGCCGTCCGAGGTCGACCGTCGGAATTTATCCACCCACCACTTTATTGCGAGAGGGGGTGGCTTTTGGCTTTTTCCACACTTTCTCTCCCAGAAATGGACACCCCCCACTATTGATGAACTAGGGTTGGTTGTTAGGGGGCAACATTAGTTGGATCCGATCTTCACTTCCTGAGTAGATGGCCCAAAAAAGGCCCAAACTTTTTCGCTTGCCGCTAAAATGATTTCTCAAAAAGTTTAAAGTCCTAGAACTCAGGATCCTGGCTCCACTTTTTGACGACAGGGCAGACTTAACCCATGGTTCATTCCCCCCAAAAAAAGGAGAACCCCGAATTTTAAGTCTAATCACTCCTTCCTAATAATAAACTTCCCCTAATAATGTTGTTTTTTGAGAATCCTAGACCTTACTTCTTCTAAAATAGGCCGATACTAAACCGATTCTAAAGTATTGGTATGTTCCTGCCCGTATTCGAATCCAGCCTCATTATGAGGACCCGTTTCCTTTACTACGGTTGTACTACAAAGTTGAAATTTTCGAGCCGGAGCTCCGGGAGTACGTTTCCTTACGGCTGTTCTTT